GAATAGTTCCATAGAGAAGGAACAAAATGAGTAAAATCTTACTCCTCCATCACTAGAAACAGCTATACTGGTTGCACAGCCTGGATTATTGGATGGGGGCTGTACCCACATATCAACCCCACTGCAAGCTTGCTGGCTTCCCTCTGGGGACAGGCTCCTGTGGTTTCCCCATTGCTGCTGCGGCTGCTGATACAGCACAGAGGCCACAGGGCTTCTGCAGCGCAGGTTTCCCCGTCTCCCAGCAGCAGCTTTTCCCTCCCCTGTCACTGGGGGGCTTTTTAAAAAATCAGCAGTTTACTATCATATCACTATAACATTGTAACCAGGGGTCATTTCGTAGAAAAAGAGGTGCAGGAGCTCATTAGCATAGCTCATTAGCATAACTCATTTGCATATGCCATACCCCCTGACATCACCGGAAGTGTGTCAGAGGACAACACCCACCGCTCAGGCTCCACTGGACTGATTTGGATTGCTAGCTATTGGGGGGGGGGAAACACACAGATCTGCCCTCACAGAGGAGGGAGAGCTTGTACCTGAAGGCGGGCTGGGGGGGCTCTGCAACTTACCTGGCTGCTTCTTGCTCCTCGTGGCCCAACTGAGGGCTGCTGGGAGCAGGGGGTGGGGCTTGTTGCATGTGCCCGCCCCCTGGGCTCCTTACTGCTGGAGCTCTGCTCCTGTGCGCTCCCGCAGGAAATGACCACTGCTGATTAGGATGTTATAAGAAGACACAATGCACTTTATGAAATGTTAATTATAAACAGAACACATTAATTTACAAAAGTGTCTTGCAGTGTATCTTTATTCGTTACCTGAGCTTCCCTGTATGGGGCCTGGAGATCTCCTGGAACTGACCTCCAGACTTACCTCCTTACCTTACCTTACCTTCCGTCTTGCAGAAGGGGGAAGGGGGGCTAGATAGGGTTGCCAACTCCAGTGGGGTATATCGCCATATGGCCCATGCCGTATGGAGAATTTGGGTTACTGGGGGTTAATCTGTGGATTGATGTTTGGAGCAACATCGGCTGTACAGCAACTTCGTGGAGGGATGACAGGCATTCTGCCCGTCCTCCAGTCTTGGAATCTACCATCAAAGTGACATTTCCCCCTGCATCCCCACCTCGTCATCCCGTTGTGCAGATTCCAGTTTAAGAAGGAGCAGCATGCGTGAGCTAGAGTCACTTCTGACACCAGCCGTGCACAACGGCATCCCAGCCGCCAATGTTAAAAAGCAATCGAGAAAGGGTGCGGCTTGTCTTGATGAATCAAACGCTGTTAAAGAAACCGCTCACTGGGAAAGCGGAGGGATGCAAGAAGGGCAGACCTAAGTCTGAGAATTTAGCCCTGCGCCAGTGTGAAGGTCCATCACCATTCTCACACAACAGGGAAAAGGTATCTCGCACTTTGGTGACTGATCCTCCCATCAGGAGAGGAACGGATGAGTGTTGGGGAAGAGACGTCAAGTGAGACGGAAATTCTACTACTACCTGCGAGAGGGATGCGATCCCAAACTTGGTCTGTTACAGAGCAGAACTGAAACCAAAACTTTGCCTA